ATGCAAAATCTCATAAAATTTTGAAATATTGCAGTACGAGATGGTTGTCTCTTTTAGAATCTATAACAAGGATTTTGGAACAGTGGGATGCTGTGATAAATTTTTTTGGAGATAAACCAGATAACAGTGAGAATGAAGGAAAGAGATTGCAAAACATTAAAAAAATTTTACAGTCACCGACCACCAAATTGTACTTGTTATTTTTGAAAAATACTTTGCCTTTGTTTATAACAGTAAATATTAATTTGCAACAACAAGCTCCTTATATACATAAATTGAGAAGAGAACTTTTTGAACTTTTAATGAATTTATTTGTTAGATTCGTAAAACCATCAGTAATTTCTAAAGAAAATGAAGATGTTACTCTAACGTCTATTCCATTTCAGAAGTATAGTAAACAAAAAGAAAATGAAAATTTAGTGATTGGTGCGGAAACAAGACTATATTTAAAAAATGCCAAGTTGAATGAAAGTGAAGTGAAATCATTTTTCAATTCTGTGCGAGCTTTTTTTGTAACTGCATGTTCATATATAATTGATAAATTTCCACTGAGTGATCCATTTCTAAAACATGCTGAAGTTGCTGACATCAACTTGAGAACTGAAGTCTCATTTTCATCTGTTCTTTACTTGATGAATACTTTTCCATCCATTATTGATGAAAAATGTCTTAATCAAGTAGAAATTGAATTTTCCATGTATCAAGTAGATGATTTGAAAGAAATTGTAGATTTGCGTATTGATATAGCATGGGGAGAAATTGCCAAATTAAAAAATATGAATGGGTGTATTAAATACAAAGTATTGCCTTCTGTAATGCTTGCTGTCTTAATAATACCTCATTCAAATGCAGCTTGCGAAAGAATTTTTTCTATTGTTAAAAAAAATCAGACGGAATTTCGACCAAATTTAGGTCTTAAAACTCTTGAAGCAGTTTTGATTGAAAAAATAAATATGCAGGCAAATGAAGAACTGTGTTATAAAAAAACATTCTCAAAATCAGAACTTAAGCTTGCTAAGCATGCTACATATAAATCTTTGCATTCATAAATTATGCGTATTTTGTTTAATACTTATATGTATCATTCTTGGTTATTTAAATTTTATTTCCCTGTAGAAATCATATCCAGAATAAAGATATGATTTATAGCTTCTGATTTTTTCTATGATTAGTAGTGATTTGAAGTACTTTTTATTAGTGAATGCTTGAGGAGTTAAAAGAAAATTTCTAATTAAATGTGCATATAATTTACAAGGTATATTTTTAATTATTCAGTTTTATATGTATATGGATTTTAAATGTAATAAAATTGATTACAATTAATTATTAATTTAAAATTAATGAATGGTTAATTACAACATACGCTACGCGCACATTTTCAAAGTTGTAAAAATGTCGTTCGCGCGTTGACTACTGACAAGGTTTGCTGAAGGTTGGAGTCTATGAATATCATCACGTTCAATCAAAATTCACTGGAGTTTTCGTTTTCTGTACGCAAATCTTAAGAGGTCGTTTCTTACCTGGAGTCGAAAATCTGCCATTTTCTTTCAATTTGGATTTCATGCGATTTATGCTTGATACAGAAACAGCAGTCAAATCAACAGCAAAAGTAACAATATCGTAATCGGATTTATTAGGAAAATGCTCCCGCAATTTGACAAAAACATTCATAACGGTAATCTTAGTGGAACTGCACAGTGGTTTTCCAACTTTATGAGGCTGAAAATTAAACACGTATGTCGAAGCTGATACAGTCACCATGAGAATTGCTTTTTTTCTCCTCCCAGTCAGTGAATGAATGAATTCTTTAATTGCTTTTCTCATCGAGAATGGGATGAAGTCGGGGTTGCTGGAATTCGCAGTTTCGCCAATAATGCCCGCCCCAAAAGGGTGGGATGTCTTCCTGCTGGTTATCGAATGATTGACATGATTTAGCAAATTTTTAATTAAAAAGCTGGTAAGCAAAGTAATCTATCGTTTCACACAATTTTTTCCCTTTTAATCTTTTTGTTCATCAGTATTCATATTTCACAGCGTAATTTTCACAATATTACTTCTCAACACGGTACAACTGTATTCTTCGGCGGATGCATACCATTTCTACTATATCCAGTGTTCTCAACTTAGGTTGACCTTTAGTATAGAAGATTTGAATTTGATAATGAATGTATCCTAAAACATGTTTTAAGTCAAAAGTTTCAAACTTGAGGGCTAAATGTAAATATAAAATTGTGCATGTTAAAATACTTATAATTAGGCACATAGGTCAGGTTAGGTTTTTATTAAATAGAGTAAGGCATGCAAGGGTTACCTGCCTAAAGAGAGAGATGCCATTGTGGAGGAATATGACCTTTGAGTGGGTATAAAAAAAATGCATGTAATTTGATTGAAATTATATTTATGTATATTTCTTATGTAAAACTTTTGGGTATATGCTAAATTATTGTAAATTACTTTACTCGAAAAATGTAGTAAATGCACAGAAATTAATGATTTGCACATGCCGAAAATGAAAAGTATGAAATATGTATGGGTATTTATGCATATATCTGCATTATATCTGCGTTTAATGAAATGCATAAATATTTATTAAATTATTTATAAATGTATTTGAATTGAAAGATTTATTCATTCATAAATTCCTGTGAAAGTTACTGTGAATAAATCTAATTATTATACGTATCTAAAATTTATAATAATTATAAATATTATCTAAATGTATAACAACGTTAACATTGAATTGTAAACATAAATTGAAATCCTCTTGTCAAATACTATAAAGTTAAGTACATGGAAATGAGCACCAATATTTAACATATTTCAGTATTAAAATAAAAGGTACTCTAATTTGAAATGGACTGAATAGAGCATTAATTATAAATTGACTTAGATTCGATTTAAAAGATACCATAGAAGCTAAAAAATCATGTCATATTTGAGAAAGTATTTTAGGAAGGAGCTCTATAAATAGAAAAGAAATAAAGGATAATTTTTATATTAATTATACAATAAACTTGTAATTCCTAACCGAATAAAATCGAATTATCTTAATTTTTTTCTAATGTAATCAACAACGAAAACTTGTGAAAATATTTCATTCAAATTAAACCATTCTGAGCAAACTGTTCTATGAAAAGTATAGCACTTAATTCCGATCTGAATGAAATGTTGTTTAAAAATGTATTCTTTTCACATACTTTAGACTCAACTGCCTTTTGTTGGTAATATATACAGAAATATTTTAGAAAAGATAATATATACATTTATATGTGTATTTATGATGTAATTACAAAATATTTACATCTGATCGTGGCAAAACCCATTAATCTTAATGGTAAATCACTGAATGTTTTGATCACCACGAAGGGAGCACTGGAAAACTGGTTAGGGCCTCCTACGTACTTCCTACCACCATGGTCCCATCAGTGCATATTTTTATGTTTTATATAAAATAAGTAACTTCTCAGAATTAACTGAAAGTTTCAGTTACAATAAGATTGTGCCATAAATCTTTAGGCCAGCCTGCTAATGGCTAACAGTAAAAAGGAATGCGAGTGTTGTGTGATAACAGATGCCGGATTTTCTTCAACCACTTTGATACTGAAAGAGGGAATGGGATAGATTGGAATTTCCATAATAAGAACAAAACTTGTCATCAGGTTTATTAGGCAATTCTAGAATTAGTTTCACAAAGGGAAAGTGATGAAAATTTGCAAAAATATAGATTACCATAACAAATTTTTAAACATAACTGCAAAATATGCAGTTATTCGAATGCTTAAGTATGTACTTTACAATAATACAGTAATTAATATGTACTTACACTGGTTGTGTTATATAGATGACAGAAATTATTATAGTATGGCTATTCATTATTTCAAAGAAATCATTGAAATATTCTTGGTAAAATATTCCCACCACTCAATGATTTCAAAGAAATTGAAAGAGTGGATTTTTGGTATTACCAAGTTTGCGGAGCCTTACTGTATATATTACCAACAAAAGGCAGTTGATATCTTTTTGACAATTATTAACAAAATATCTGAAATCTCTATGTAAGTATAAAATTATCATAATTAATGTATGAAAATTCACATTGAACATGGTAGTATGAAATATATTATTTAATGATCAGTTAATAATATTTTTTTTCTAGTTTTTGTATGGTGCTTCTAAATTTCAATTTATTTTAGTTAGAACTTTATACTTTTATTAAATAGTGTTAAAAGAAACTTGATTTTTAAAATTTCGTATTGGAATTTCTGGTACATTATATTTATGCATATATGTTAATAAGAGAAAATAAATCTATGTGTTAACTTGCTGCCAATACCTTGGTTTGCTGATGAACCGGCAGATTCCTCTCGTTTCTCTGATATCCAAAATTTGTACGAAGTAGTATAAGATACAGAAATTTCACCTAGCGGTATCACCCTGATAAAGCTGTAGCATATGCAGTTTCAGTGAACATGCCATGTCTCACTTCAGAAACACTTTGAAAGATAGGTAACAATAAGTCACATAGGGCAAATCTGGAGTAAAGCTGAGGCCCAGTGAAAACAGAGTGGTGCTTAGAAACAAAAAAAAAAAAAAAAAAAAAAGATAAAAGAAGATGCCTTCTGAAGATCTGATGCTTGGAAGGAAGTACTAGACAATAACATCTTTCTAATAATTTTTCACTTGGCCTTTGACTTTTATACACTGGTTAACATTGTGGTTAAGTTATATATTTAACAATTTGCACTGATTTTAGATTATGAACTTGTGCAGAAAATACTGTAAGCTTAAGTAGTATTTGTTTTCCAGGAATGAATTAATCCATTTTACGTTAATTCCTATGGGGCAAATTATTTTAATTTATGAGCATTTTGGTTGCCAAATGACCCTAAGAAAAGTTTCTGTTTTATGTACCAAGGTTTCACTGTATTTTCAGAAGCTTTCTTTTTAACTTCAGAGGTTTTAAAAATAATAATTGTTATTATTTTTTTTTTTTTATGTAGGCGAGGAAGCTAAAGAAGTAGTCCATGTGGATAAAACTTCTTTGAAGCAGCTGACAGACATGGGGTTTCCCGAAAGTAAAGCATTTGATGCTTTAAAACAGAATAGGTTAGTATTATTTTTATTTATTTATTTTTGTAAATAGTTACAACTTTAATACTGCTAACTGTACCTGTTAGTTCAGGTTTCAAAAAAAGTTTTGTTATCAATATTTTTTTCCTCCTTTATTTTATTTTATTAATTTAAGTTAAACACAGTTCAAAAGTGTTCAACAACTTCTTATCAAAATCAAAATAGTATTGGAAGATAACAACAATTTTATTTAGATTGAAAGAAAACAAAATTTCTAAAAACAGTTTTTTTTTTTTTTTTGAAAAAGTGAATTATTAGGATTAAATTTTTGGGAACAGAAGAAGTTTTATGAAAGTTCTAAAAATCTGAGTCACCAATTTAAAGATTTGAGGTAATTAGGAACTGGGAAGAGAAAAAATTCAGTTACAAAACGTTGCTGAGATTGCAGCATAATTTAGCTGGGTATCACTTCTTGTACAACTAAGTGTTGCAACTCTGGTCACATATTATTAGTTGAAGTATCCGTTCTATGTTCAGGTGACGACACAAATTAAATAATGTGTTTGGGAGGCAGTTTAGAAAAATATAAAAACACTATTAAAAAGGTCAACAGCAAAAACACTCAAAAACTAATTTTTCAATGCAAAAGGCACAGCTTAAAGACAGAAAGTGATGGCCAGTTGCTCTCTTCAAGCTTACTTCACTGCATCATTACTCCTGAGGGCCAAGTATTTCTTGGCTCATTCTTAAGAGTGTCTCACCGTCATTTCTTCCCTCTCTCCCCCCTCACTACCATAACTGTGCAATACCCTGGGCAAACTTTTTTGGTCGCAGGCCGAAAATCGAAAACAAAAAGGTTGGCTGTCCAAGATAAATTTTTCTGAAATTTAAAAAACAATGTGCAAGTATTACAATATGTTAATGAGATGCATGAAATTGCAATTTCATTTTTAAAAGTTCCTTATATTGAGTTTCGAAGTGAGATGTACTGATACTAAGAAACGAGGCTAAATGCTTATCTGTCAGTCTACTTCTGAAATAATTCTTTCTGACTTTCATAGTTGAAGACACTTGTTCACATATATAAGATGAAGCAAATATAACACTGATTTTCCTGGGCGTGAGATATTAAATTTGGGAAGCTTACTTTTGATAATGATTTATAAAACTCTTAACTTTAGCACATTTAGAAAAAACTGCTTGAGAGGATTGTTAAATTGCGACTAAATTAATTCATGCTGCAAATCTGACATCACTGCTTCACACTTTATGTTGAAAGGCATGGTAAAAATATCCAATTCTGTTTGAATGGCACTGAAATCTTCGTTCGAAATCAAAATGCAGTTTTTTTCAAACAATCTTCATAATTTTTAAGCTTATCTTCATTTACTGAGGATATTGAACTTAACCCCGGAAAATGAGACAAGCTGTTCTTAGCTAGCTGCCCAGCACACAGATTAAATTTTCTTATTAAGTTTTAAGTTAAAGTTTTTTCTAAAGAGGTCTAATTCATCTATATTGGATTCTCATATGTCTGCTCCCCAAGAAAGAGATAATGCTTGTTGGCGCCAATGTACAGCAATAACTAACAAAGAACTTCCACTTTTAACACTTTAGCAATTGAAAGTTGTCTGTACTTGCTATTTCTGTCAATTTGTGTTTGTAGAACAAAAATAGAGAAAGTAAAAAAGCACTTGTCACTTTTCTGTTATCAGGAAAGGAATTCAGAAATATATGTATATGTGGATTTATGTGTTCATGTATGTATGTATGTATATATGTGCATAGATATGTTACACATGCACACACATATATGCACATCCATCCATCCATTTCTGAATCCGGTTCCGATAACAGAAGAGTACCCACCATTCTTTTGCAGAAGGAGATTTAAGGTTTTTCTAACATTTTGGTCACTGACATGTCATTATGCAGTTGTTATACTATTAACCCCTTGAGAACCAGCCTGCGGAGAACAAAGTGCATTCATGACCTCTCCTCCCAAAATATTGCCACCAGCCCACACTTTTTAAGCAGTTAGGCCTAATTGTACAAAAAAATGAGCATTTTGATAGAATGACTTCATTTTTTTACTTTCTTGTACAAAGTAAAAAGGAAGTATTGTAATCGTGAAAAGTTTCAGGCAGCATATTTCAATAAAAATATCCATTTTGACCGCTATCGAATGCAATTTAATGATGTTTTTGTGTGACATCTGTACATAATGACATAATAAAAGATACTTTTCCTCTAAAAAAATTATAAAACTGCTTTAAAATGAATTCTGAAGAGAATTTTTCGTGGTATCTGTACGTACATACGTATATATCTCGCATAACTCAAAAACGAGTAGCCTCAGAACGTTGAAATTTTGTATATAGGACTGCTATAACATGGTTGCAATCAGCCACACCAAACGTATACAGTACAAAGTCCTTAATCCGGACATCCATTATCCGGAATAATCTATAATCCAGACCTCAAAGCCACAAACTTTTTTTTGTATACTTTACGCATGTGTGCTTAATGAATGACGAATGGTATAAGCTAGACTAAAATCATCTTTACTGATTTTAAGGCATTTCAGTTAATGTTGTAGATTGTGCTGTTCCTTAACCTTCTAATTGAATCCGGTTTATTATTTTTTGCAGACTGTTAGAGCAATTTTATAACAATTAAGCTTGAACTTTCGATTATGTCAAAAAGAGTTTCCTATTCTGGAGCTCCCAAAGGATCTGCAAAGCAAAAGCATGTTTTGATATCCATCTAACAAAAAGTGGAATTGCATGCAAAAAATTAATGGATATAGGTATATCCCTCTCAAAATTATGCTAGGAGTATGGCATTGGAAAGGTTACTGTATATAGACATAAACAGAAGAAAAAGAACTTTATTAATTTTTTGCGGATTCCAACACCCCACTTGCAATGAATAACAGAAAAAGGATTTGCTATGTTAAAAGTGACGATCGTGATAAAGTGATGATTGAATGGGTCAGACAGTGTCGCAGCGAGGGCGTGCCATTGACGGGTCCAATGCTAATGGCTCAAGCCAAAATTTTTCATAAAGAAATAAACTTAAACACTGAGTGCACATATTTGACAGGTTGGTACCAAATTTAAAAATCGCAATGGTAATTAAAAGACAATTAAAAATCTCAGGCAAAGACAATTAAAAATCTCAGGTGAAAAAGCTTCAGCTGATACTCATTACTAGTGAACAATTATCTCCAGAACAAATTTACAATGCTAATGAAGCTGGTCTTTTCTGGCAATATGTCCGCAAAATACCTTGGCAACCTCTACAGAAAAGGCTCCAACTGTTGTCAAAGACTAACAATTTAAAACTAACAATTTAACTAAAAGCAAGACTAACAATTTTAGCACGCACAATTGCTGAAGGAACGCACAAGTGCAAACGTGCAAGAACATGCACGACCTCGAACATTAAAAGAAGTAACGATTTTCCTCGTTATATATCATGCAAATAAAATAGCATGGATGACACAAGCATCGATGAATGATTGGTTTGAAAATCATTTTATACCCAAGGCTCGGCGACATTTGAATTCGGTTGGTTTATCTGATGACTCAAAAATAGTCCTGATTGTTGACAACTGTTCGGCACATACTTCACTTAAAGTTTTAGTGAAAGATAATGTATCCGTATTATTCTTCCCTCCAAACGGTACATCTGTCAGTCAGCCTATGGATATGAGAATAGTGCAGGCGCTGAAATACAAATCTAAAGTAGCATTTTTAAAATCTATGTTAAATTTCTTTAACAATTGCAAGCCTATTCAAGACTTTTTGAAATTTTTTAGCATAAAATCTGCTGTGTGGAGCATCGCAAGATTGTGGGAGGATGTGCCTCCAGATACGCTAAAAAATGCATGCCATAATTTATGGCCAGCTACCATATTTCATAGTGAGGACGATGAAGATGATAGCCGCGAATTTGAAGGTTTTCGGACATCGAAAACTAAAGGTGAAGTTTTCCAGTTATTGGATTTTGTAAAGAAATGTAGTGAATGAAGATGATATAACAGAAGTTTTTCATTGTGACGACAATGCCCCAATCATCAATGAATTAACAGACGTCAAAATCTAAAGTATGGTTCTAGATCCAGAAAATGCTGCTTCCGATAGTGAAGAAAGTGACAGAGAGGTTATTGAAAACAAAAAAAAAATTCGATTGACAAGTTAGTCGGTATTCTCGACACAGCAATTACAGGATGTGAACAATGGAACTTTGTAACTGAACAAGAAATTATGTCTGTTTATAGAAATTAAAGTTGTTATGATTTTTAAATTTGGTTAAACAACCTGTTGAATACGTGGACTCAGTGTTTTAAGTTCATTTCTTCATGAAATATTTTGACTCGATCCATTAGCATTGTTTTCGTCAATGGGCAAGCCCTTGCTGTACAATGCAGTCTGACCCATTCAATCATCACTTTGTCATGATAGTCACTTCTTAGCATAACGAAATAGTTTTTCTATTATTCATTGCAAGTGGGGTGTCGGAATCTAAAAAAATTCAAAAAATTCCTTTTTCTATTTTCTTATGTCATATACAGTTGATTTTCCAATGTCCATAGTCTTAAGACAGATATACCCTTTTCCAATTACATTTGCAGCAATTCCACTTTTTGTTTAATAAAAAAACAAATAAATATTAAGCTTTTTTTTGTAAATTTGATACTTTTTAGATCATAATTGCCCTTTATTTTGTAAATTACGGTTTCATATTTTTAATTGTATAATTTCTGCATGCCATCTTACCAGATTTAAATTGATGATCCATAATTCGGAAAAACCCCTAATCCAGAATTGCCGAAGTCCCGACGAGTCCGGGTTATGGATTTTATACTATATAAATATATTTTTATATATATATCCACTCTGCTACCTGGCTCAGTGATCTCAGTTGCTTTACTCTTATACGATTGTAAATTGTGCATTTTTTGCTTTAAAAACGATTGGATTATGTTGTTCTTATCTTTTGGTTAAGGTGTTTATGCCTTTAGGAAATCT